TTGAATCTGCAACCCTTTCAGGCACAAAGGATGGAGTCTGTGAGCCACTGACGTTCTGTGGCATGTGGCTGAGGCACTGGGAACATGCCCTGGCAGTAAATAAAAAGGTGAACTTTCAAAAAAAACTTTGAAAGTTTCATTTAAGAGTTAAATAGGGGGCTGGGGATGTGGTAGTGTGCTCACCTGGCATGCGTGCGGCCCAGGTTCGATCCTCAGCACCACATACAAACAAAGATGTTGTGTCCGCCAAATACTAAAAAATAAATATTAAAATTCTCTCTCTCTCTCTCTCTCTCTCTCTCTCTCTCTCTCTCTCTCTCTCTCTCTCTCTCCTCTCTCTCTCTTTATAAAAAAAAAACAAGTTAAATAGGAATTCACCCAATGCATTAACAGGTTTGGTAACAGAGGCAACTCAGGGTATGCTGTTATCAGACAGCTCCTGTTCAAACCCCAACCCCTTCTTAGCTGTATGAACATGGAATAATAACTTAACCTCTCTACCTCTCTATGCCTCACTTATCTCCTCTGTCTAGGGAGGATAGCCATACCCTGTATTTCCTATGGTTGATGTGAAATTACACATGGGAAAAAAAATCCTAAAAAAAATTTCTGCTACACAGTGAGCTTAAGTCTCTTACCTGAAACCCCAGTTAATACCTGAGGGTGTCTCACATTTAGCCTATCTGAAACCATACTCTCCTTCCACTTGGAGCTTTATTGAGGAATGACTGATATATAAAAACTGTACATATTTAATCTGTACAATTTGATGCTTTTTGGACATATGCAAACACCCTGATGTCATCATCACCATCAAAGTGACAGACACCTCCCAAGGTTTCCTTGTGTCTATTCTCCATTTCCTCTTTTGTGTGCATTTGGTACATTTAACATGAGATCTACCCTCTTGACAAATTCTGAAGTGTATAACACAAGCACAATTATACACCAGAGGCACATGCTGTACTACAGATCCCTAGAACTTATTTGTCCATTGTCACAGTGAATGATAGTTCCCCATTTCCTCACCCTCCAGCCTCTGGTAACCACTATTTTGTTCTTACTTCTATGATCAAAGGAGTTTTATGATCCTCCTTTATAAAGCCTCATCTTATTCACAGAAATTCCATTCTTTTGGCTATGTGAGCCCAACCCCTTGAGTCATCTGTGACACCTCCCTTTATCTCCCCACAAAGATTCTTGGTTCTTTCAAAAGACATCCAGAACTACAGAGTCACCATCCTGCCAAACAGATTACTACACCTTGGTCAAGCCACCATTGTCTCTTGCCAGATTACTAAAACCCCTAACTGGTCTCTCCACTTCTGTCCTCAATCCCATAAGTCTGTTCTTAATACCACAGCCAAAATGATTCTATTACAATCTAAGTTAGATCAGGTCAAAAGCCTATGCTCAGAACCTTGCACAATGGCTTCCTGTTTCACAGAGGAGCAAACAAATTTCTTACAAATTGTCCTACGAGTACCTGAATGATCTGCCATCCCTCTTCCCACCTTTCTGACCTCATTTCCTGCCACTCTTCTCTTTTATCCTTCTCTAGCCACACTGACCTCTTAGTTCTTCCTCAAACACAAGGATCACACAGACCTCAGGGCCTTTGCCCTTACTTAGTCTTCCTTCTACCTGAATGTTCTTACCCCAGATATCTGCATGATTGGCTTTGTCACTTCTTTCAGATCCGTACCCAAAAGTTGCCTCCTCAAAGATATCTTCCCAGGAAACATTTTTAAACTTCACCTTTGCCCTGATAGCTTGTATCCTCTTTCCTTGCTTTATTTTTCTGTTTATCATTTAAAACTATTTAACATGCTAGGTATGTTTTTTACTTGTTTATTTGTCATCTGAATCCTCTATGAGTTACTAAACCCCATGATAATAGGTAATTTTTTTGTCTGCTTCACTGATCTATTCCCATTGCTAAGTATAGTGCCTGACACACAGCAGAGGCTCAATAAATATCTGCTGTCTAAATGAGATAAACAACAGAGAACCCAGGGCTTTGTTAAAGCTGCTGACTGTCCCTGCTAACTGAAGGTCAATCAAACCTCAAGACAAGGACCTGCATGCAGTCTTCTGTTTGTTCTGCAAAATGAAAGGTACTCACGTTTTCAGTTTTGATTAAAAATATAAAATGCTCTCAGCTTGACTTGACTTCTTTTGATTGAGCCACACTTCTTTCAAGCATTGGGTCAACAAAACCATGACTGGAATACTAAACAGTACTTCTGTTCTTGGTTCAGCCTATGAATCAGTTTCTTTTATTTCTCCTTCCTTTCTATAGCCACAGAGATATACCAGCAGGCAGTGCAATATTGCTATGATAGATGTAAAGTTTTGTGGAATATAAAGGTAAGTAACCATTCAAAGGATATGAAATGCATGGTGGAGAAGGAAAATTAAAAAACCAGTATTCTTGGACAAAAATTCTAGGAACAAGACCAGACTACCAGAAATAAGAGCTACTGGCAAGTGGAAAAAATTTTTTTTTTCATAGTTTTAAAGTTGAGAGAGAGAGAGAGAGAGAGAGAGAGAGAGAGAGAGAGAGAGAGCGAGAGAGCACAAGAGAGCAAGAGAGAAATTAGAAACCCAAAGAATAAAATCTACAGGCAACTAAGCTAACAGCAATCTGAAGCTGGGATTTTCAGAATGGTATATAGGGGTGAAGTCATAAATCATCCCAAGAACTGGATTAATTCAGGAAAATAAAAATAAAAGAACAAATCCAGTTCGTCAGTTTGGATTCAGGCATTTTAACTGCAAAGAAGCATGATAAAGAAGAAAGAGCTAAAACCTTTGCAATGGGTCAAAGCTCCAGTCTGGATTCTGCCATCCAACAGCTGGGTGACCTTGGATACTCGACTGAACCTCCAAGAACTTCAGATTCCTAAACTATAGAGCATGGATCATGATACCTAAAGTCATTATGTAGATAAGTCAGGTTGTGAAGACGTTCACATATAGTAAAGGATCAATAAATGATATTTCCTTTCCTGGATTGTCAAAATTTGTTTGAACCCAAAGAATAGGGAATTATCAACACTGATCTTTTTCCAAACAAAATGTCCCTAAAACATTCTGCCAATAGGAGGCAAAAACCTTAACTTGCTCCTGAGCATGATCTGTGAGGGAACGCCAAATTCAAAGACAACAAAGGACAAAAAAAAAAAAAAAAAAAAAGACAAAGCCAAGAAAAGAGAAAAAAGCAACGAAAGGCAGCAGGAGGGACTGTTCTCTGCACCACAGAAGAAGGGGTGAGTGAGTGACCTTGAACCATCCTCTAGAGCCAGGTGCTTCCCAGTCTTACCCAGACTCAGCATAATAGACCAGAATGCCACTGCTCACTGATTCATGACAACACGCTCTTCATTGCTTGAGACAAAGGGGGCAAAGATATCTCTGGTAACTGGTTGTTGCTGTTTTTTCTTTTCTTTTCTTTTCTTTTTGTTTTATATATTTATTTATTTATTTTTTAGTTGTTGATAGACAACTATGTGTGGTGCTGAGAATCGAACCCAGTGCCTCACACATGCCAGGCAAGTGCACTATCACTGAGTCACTACCACAGCCCTGTTTGTTTTTTAATCACCTAATTCTGTCTACCTATCTGTTCATTCAACCTTTTGCTTAATAATATCTCTCACCATGCATTTTCTGAGCACTTACAGGAATGAGGGACATAGGTCAAGCATCTGAGATGATACACAGATAAATGTTTTGCATTTTAGGAGCATTTTGTAGAATTGCAGCAGTCACCTATCTACTCCAACATTCTGTGTGCGTGTCTATTTATCTGTCTGTATATGTCTACCATCTGTCAGAGTAAGATCTTTGAAAAGTATTCAGATTAATATTTATCAAGACCTCACTATATTCCAACTACTATGCTTACATGTTATTCTTGTTGAGTTGTCACAACCACTCTATAAGGTAAACATTGTTATTATCTTTAATAAACCAACTAGAAAAACAGGTATGGAAGAATTTAAAGTCACATATAGCCTGTAATGGCACAGCAGCAGTCTGAATCAAGTGTCTAAATAGGAAGTAAGAATCAGTATTGTCTTGTTCACTGCTTCCTTACACAGAAATTTAAGTTGTGATGTCTTCTATGTATCTGTCCTCTGATGTGATGAAGAGATCTGAGGTTTAGAATCCATTAAAAAGTGTTTCTAAGTGTTTCAGGGTGTGTAAGCAAGAAGCCATTGATGGAAATTAGAGATCAGGGACTTAATCAAGATTCTAACTTGTGAAAACTTTATATGCATTTACTGAGACTTGAAATATGACCTTATTATGCTCTCTAGGAAAATGCTTTTTCAGTTGATCAAAATATCCTCTTCACTCTAGAAACACTGCAACTTGAACAATGTTTATGCTTTCAAATATGTGCTCCCATTTGTCCTTTGATTTCTGAGAAACAGAAATGGATTTGAGATTAGGATTCTCATTTAAAAGATGAAAATTAAAGTCCTAACACCACCAATGTAGTGGATCCATTGTGAAATCGGAGAATACCCATGATGTATAAAAAGAGCAGAGGCCTAAGAGCAATTAGCCATGCATTCAAATCCAAGCCGCATGACCTTAGATACCACAACTAGCTTTCTGCACCAATTTCCTGTCTACCTCACACATCTACCTTGCAGTATTTTGGTAAGACTGAATAAATGCACACTGTTATTACTGAATATAAGGCCAATTCCTTCTAGCATTCATATTTAGAAAATGATAAGGCCTTATATTTTGTTTTCTGGCATGAATGTACTTAAGAAAGGCATCACGGAAAGGAGCTGAGCTGAATGGTTTAAAGTCCCATGCATTAATCAGATCCCAAGTCTCAGGTTCCTGGAGACCAGAATGAAAACCTTTCAGCCCATCTCCATCATGCCAGATGGGAATACATCTCCTATCTCTTTCACATCTTATCTATATTTTCAAATTAAAGGTGAAATTCCACATAAAACCACAACAGGCGCCTGTGGTTTTTATTTATTTATTTATTTTGGTTTCTCTTTAAATTTCTGTTCCTCAGGTCTCTTTTTAAACTCCTACAGCGTGAGCAGACATGGGATCCTGTATCCAATGCCAAAGGACTGGTATGCAGAGAAGAGATCCAAATCATTTGGGATAACTCCAAAGGTCAGAGCAAGGACTGATGGGGTGGCCTTTGAGGATTGTTCCAGCTCTGCATATGGAACATGTATGTAACAGGGGCCGCTGGCCAGTCACAGGGACAAGCTTCTGAAACAGGAAGCTCCTTGCTGAGAAAAGACAAGCAGAACATCTTACCACTGCCGCCTGATAGATTATCCTAACTACTTTATTCTAAACAAATTCTTTTATTTAACACTTATTAAGTGCTTTCTATGTGCTAGGCACTAGGAATACAATAAGCAATAAAATGCAGTTCTTAGCCTTCGGGGCTCTGGCTGCCAGGACAGATAGATAAGCAGGTAATTAATTATAAAATGCTGTAAGTTCAAAATTGGAGAAATTATAAGAGAAGTGAAGAGTTGGGCCTGACTCAGGAGATGGATCCACAACAGGTGAGGAAATCTTTCTGGATGAGGAGACCCAATAGCAGAGTCATAAAGATTGGAGCAGGGAGAGGAAGTAAAGGCAGGATGGAGGAAGTATACAAAGAGCATTGAGGGCAAAGGGAATCAGCAGTAGCAAAGAAACAGACTGGCAACAGCATGGCTTAGGAGAAGAGCTCCAGGCATCTTGGGCATAAATGTGAAGGTGAGGTGTGGTAAGAAACAGGGCTGGAGCCAGAGTCAGAAGCCAGGCCATGCAGGGCCTTGTAAAGGCATTCTGCAGTTTGAACTTTGTCCTGATGATGTCAGGCAGCCAATACCTTAAAGGTTTTGAGCACGAGTAATAATTTTCTGTGATCTTTGATTTAGAAGCTTTTTTCAAAGGGGAACTGCGGGCCAGCCTTGAAAGCTGCTGAGGATCCCAGTGTTTGTGCAGCCCTGCCTGGCTCATCAGCACTGGGCTCCTTTGCTCACCTGCCTCTTCCTCCCCTGTCTGCTGGGCCTCTTCGTAATGCTGACCTCAGAAGAAGATGATTTGGGAACAAGGCAACTTGGCACTATAAATTGCTTGGAAGCAGCTAGAAGTTCATACTGAGCCCTGAGCTGCTCTCTGCAGTGGGGACCTTGGCTGACAGGCAGGTCTCAGGTTTGCTGCAATGCGCTCTGTAGTCCTCCTGAACCTCCTTATCGCCATCCCTCCCTCTCTTCTTTCCTCCCTCTCTGCCCGAATGACCTCAGGGTGGAGGATGGCACAGGGAGCCTATTTATCTTGCAGGAAAAAGCATCCTGCAGTTCTCAGCTCCCAGGCCATTCTGATCTCCCCAGCAAGGTGGGTACTCTGGCCTCCAATACTTTTCAGAACCACTGTACATCTCATCTCTCAACTGCCATCTGGAACAATTTCTCCTCCCTCAGCATCCTCTTTTATCTTTCCAATCCCAACCCTCATTACCACGCCCAAGGTCTCTACTACCTCTGTGACAGTCCTCTCCACTTCCTCTCTGCCATATCATGTCCCTTATGACTCCTTCAAATACTTTATAAACTGCTCTGCCTCCCTAAGCCTTCCTTGATGACTCCTTCCTACCTGGCCCCTCCCTTCCATGATTTCCCTGTATTCTGAGCACCTGAGTACAGGTGCTCACTTCTACTGGTTTACCTGTTCCAACCACTCCCAATAAGCCCTGAATCTGCCTATGTTGCTCATGTTTCCTCAGTTTTAAAATGTGTTCCTCCTCATCTCCCTTCTGAACTTTACCTTATCCTTCCAGGAATAGCACAAATGTCATCCTGACTCCAAGGCTTTGCCCCCTATCACTTAAAAGACAGATTAAATCTAGTAGGACTTTGTTTACCTTTATTAAATTATGGCTTTTTGCTTATGTCACAGTAACATCTAATTAGACACCTCCCTGAGAACTTTATCATTTAATCCTCATAACTACTGCTAATAACTAGTGTTATTATCTCCAAGTTAACTTGCCCCAGTTTATAGCCACTCAAGGGAGGAAATAGGATTTGATCCCACACTGTGTGTCTAATCAGATGCTACATCACCTCTCCGTGCAGAAAAACCCACCTACAAACTAGGAAGCCCTTGAGTTCTGGAGTCATACATTGAATATATCTAGAGTTTCTCTGGTATACTAAATGTCTGGCATACAGCAAGTGCCTACTAAATGATTTTGAATTTAACTGATATTTGTTCAGCATGCATTCCCATGACTTCGTACTGTGTACACTGCATCTGCAAGAGATCCTCAAGAAGAAAGGATCAGGCCATCTATTTTCTTTCTAGGCCCACAATCACAGTACATAATAAGGAGCTGGAGGTCACATAGTATTCGAGCTCTAAGTGCATACGTGGGGGACACTAATTTTAAACTAAAATGTCTTAAGAATGTACACAGTCTTTTTCACATACCTGATTTCATAGGTCCTCAGATAAAATTGGTGAAAGGACATGGAGAAGGTAAGGAAACCAGATTGCAGATTGCTTGAGACCTGGCCAATATCTCAGTGCTAGAAACATCTGAATGAGATTTCAACCCGAAGGCTCTGAATGAGGAATCTGAAAGCCAGTTGGCTGTTCACCTGGTACTAGGCAGCTATGGCCATCAGGAACTGAGGGCTATGTGACAACTCTCCCCCTGGCAGCTCTGATGGGGTGAGAGGTCAAAGCCCAACAGGACTGAATGTTCTGGAGAGGAAGCCAACGGACAGAGGTGAACCAGGATGTGTTAGGCACAGGCCAGCAGGTACTGAGGGCCTCTTGGCATGTTTGATCACTATCACCAGACAGAACCACATGAAAGGTTACATGATTCCCAAGTGGTCTGATAATATAGATGTAAAGAGTCAGGAAAAACTGGTTTCTCCTTCCCAGCAGTTGGAGATAATCAATGTTTCCCTACCATTTGTAACTATTCCATGGCATTTCTAAAAACTCATGCCTTTATTTTATTGTTCTAATTCAATACAACTTCAGATCTAATGTACTCACTGTTGCGTGTAGAGGGAAGCATTTCTACACTAGGATGGGCTTTGAAGAAGCTTTCCTTAGAAGAAAAGGTAGTGACAGTCTAACCACAAGACCTGCCAGATCTTACCAGCTGGTAGGTTATCAGAAACTCTTCACCGGCCTGAGCATCTATCTTCTCTTCTGTAAAATGGGTATGAAAATGCTCACCCAACCCCAAATGAATTCTGAAGCAATGACATGAACCCAGGCCTGTGAGTGGCCCTCCTAAGCTTCCCGCGGATCTGCACGGTCTCCTAGGTTTTGGTCTCACACTCCACGCTACTCAGGAAACGAAGGAGACACTGCAGAGGTCTGCGCCTAAATGTAAGGAGAACCACCTCCCCAGGGCACCTCCCTCCCCTGCGGCTCTAATGAAGGCTCGAAGATCGTCAAGCTTTTATTGTAGCTTCGTCATGGGTGAGGCTAGTTGTAACTACGCGGGCGCAATGGGGTGGATCCGAAACCCGGGTCCAAGATATCAAAGGCGTGAAGGACTGCCTTTCCTGGCACTGCCCCTGGCGGTATGACAAAGCCCCCCCCCCTTGGAGGCTGGCCCAGGCGCCCCGCCCGGCCCGGGAACCACCTCGCTTACCTGCGGCTCCACCAGCCAGCGCTGCTCCGCGCTGCCAGGCGCGGGACGCGCGGAACGGAATGCTGAGAACACTGGGATGCGATCGCGGGTGTTGTATAGGGTGGCAAAACGCTCGGAGCCCTGGAAGCGCTGACAGATCTTCACGTGGGAATCGGCAGCCAGCCCCGCAGGAGGGGTCTCGGCATAGAAAAATTTGTCGCATTCGCCAAAACCAGCTTCTTCCTCGCCCACAAGCCGGCCTTCCAGCAGCCCCGCCAGGGCCAGGAGGCTGCCCAGCGCGAACCAGCGCGCGGTGCCCATGGCGGCCTCTGAGAGCGCGGCGGGGCGGCCGCGAAGCGGGCTCTGCGGGCTGGGCTGGGAGCGCGCGACACCGCCGAGCAGAGCTGGGAGGGGAAGTCCAAACCCGGGCGCCGCGCACAGCAGAGACAAGAAGGGCGGCTCCAGCGGTGGGGGCGGGCCGTACAAAGGCCCCGCCCCCTTTCTGCCTCCTCCTTTGCGTCCGAGAAGATGGCTGCAGAGGCTCAGTGGAAGCACCCCAACCTACAGAGGCTGGTCACCTGCCGCCACTGCCTGGGTCTAGCATACCAGGGGAATGCGCACGGCGAAGAGTGGAAGGTCTGAACGGGCTGGCCTAGTCCGAGGGGCTGGAACGGGCTGGTCGCCTAGGCGTGATGCTTAGAAGCCTTCTGATCAAACGCGACCCACGGGGCCCCAGGGATGCAGAAGGGCGGCGTGAGATGCTCTTGGAGCTCTGGCTCTCTGGATCGGGTGAGCAGACTCCTCCTGAAACCAGAGGAAGATCAGTCTCCCCTTCCTCACTAACACCCAAGTTAAGGAATCCTGTTAAAGGAAGTTGCTAACCTAGGCTGACAGTACAGCCCAGCAGTGGTTTACTTAGTGCAAGCGCGAGAAACCAAACCGACGCTAAGAAAGAGCAGCCAGCATCGTTGGCTGACAGGTTAGTCTTTTTACTCCTCTGAATACCTAGGTGCCCTGGGGAGTTAGGCACTGGGTTACTACAATGCTAAACAAGAGCAGGGTCCCTGCAGCCGTGTAGACCCCAGCCTAATGGAAAAGATTGTCGCTAACCAAAGAAGCGTGCTATTAAAAAAATAATAATAATTTGAAAACGAACAGGAACTGTGGGAATCTGACCCTTATAAGGGTTCAAGATATAGTCTGGGAAAGTTTGCCTGAAAAAATGTCACCTGAGTTGGGACCTGAAGGTTGATATGTTCTAGAGAAGAGGAAAACAGCACATAAGGGGTCTTCCTGAAGAAGGAAGCATGATTTGTTGGAGGAATTTAAGGAAGATTGTTGTGGATAGAGCAAAGAACTGGGCAGAGATTAGAGGAAATGGAGCTAGGAGACAGAGATCATATCACTCAGTAGGCTTGGGCCTTCACGTTTTATTAAATAGTTCTTATGCTTATTGTTATGGTTTGGATCTGAAACGCTCCCTGAAAAGCTTGGGGAAGGTGTTGGAAGCAGGGTCTCCAACACCGTTTCAGAAGTGGGGCTTTTAGGCAATGATTAGGGCTCTGACTTCATCAGCAGATTAATACATTTGCTAGATTAATCGATTGATTGATAGCTGAATGGTCTACTGGGTAGTAATTCTAGACAAATGGGACATGGCCATATCTGTCCTGGACCCTTTCTCTCTCTTTATCTCTCTCCCTCCCCTTCTCCCTCACCCCTCCCCCTTTCCCCCCTCCCTTTCCCCCTGCCTGAGCAGAGCAGCTCTCTTCTGCTATGCCCTTCCACCAAAATGTTCTGCCTCACTCAGGCCCAGAGCCATGGAGTTGAAGGACCATGGACTGAACCTTTGAAACCATGAACCAAAATAATCTTTTTCTCCTCTGAATTGTTCTTCTCAGGTACTTTGGTCACTGTGGGGAAAAGCTGAGTAAAACACTTATCATTGCCACTGCATTCTTATATCTCTCTTCTACTATATTATGCTTTTTTTTTTAAAGTGCTGGTGATGACTCATGAAATTATTTCTATGACCCATTCATGGTTCATGATGTGCAGTTTGGAAAGAATATTATAAATCATGTGGAGGATTTTGATCTTTTCAATGATGGTTATACAATCACATTTGCTTTCTTAGCAGAGACTAGTAGATTAGAGTGATCCAGAATGAATGAAAAAACAATTACAATAATCCAGATGAGAGATGGTAACTTGCACTAGGGTGCTGATGATAAAGATAGAGCCAGAGATAGTGCCAGCTTCCTCTACTGACATCTTATTATTTAATCTTACTGCTTGGGAAGCTGAGGACCAGAGTGTGTTGACGCTTGCCTGATGAGATAAATGTTGAGTCCTGAATAAATTTACAGTAGGTCTCTGATTCCCAAGTATGGCCTTTCCTTTAAGTCTAATCTGGAGGTTGAGAACATTCTTTGAAATTTAACAAATTTGTTACAAATTCCAGGGCCTGGAAATGTTGACTAGACTTAGTCCCTGAAATGAAACCTAAATTTGTATATTAGTTTAAGAAAAAAGACACATTTACTGTGTTGTCACAGAAAAGGCTAAAGTTAGCGCCCCTTTGATTTGGAGTGATGACCCTGGGTATCTGGTAGTAGTATCTCGGTGGAGTCATCTCATCCTTATAGGCCTCAGTCAGATTCCTCTCATGGAAGTGATGCCTCTCCTGCAATGCTTGAAGGCTTATAGGTTTTACAGTATCAATCCTACAGAACTGTATAAAACAATTCAACAACTAGGAGTTAATAGCTCTCTTCTCTATGCTCTTTGACTGTGAGTCTATTGTGGTACTTATCATGTTAAGACAATAATGATTCCGATGTCTGTCTTTTCCACTAGATGTATACTCATAAGGGCAAGGCAGTGTCCCTTAATCTCTGGATCACAGAAGCTGCCACAAAGTCCCAAATAATAGAGGTCAAATACATGATTATATTGTACTTTAACTAACAGATACATTATAACACTATAATTTTGGCCCATATGACTGAAGTATCTGTGGGACTTTAATTCACTATTTCTCAAAAATTTCTTGATTCCTGCCTCCTTATGATAAGCATAAGAGTCTCTGTCCCTTCCTGCCACTTTCTATGGCAGATTTGAGTTTCTCCAGTCCCCATCAGTGGCTGAACACATATACACAGAACATGTGCCCATCCCACTAATGAGTTTGCCTAGTTTATCTTCTAGCTTATAGTACAAGACAAAGAGATTCTTTTTGTGCACTTGCCTCCCAAGGATAAAATTATATTACAATTTTTAACTTACTTTTGCAAATTACAAATATCCTAACCCCCAATATCTGGAACAAACTATGCAGGTGGACACCTTGATCTAATTAAAATATCTCCTGGCTGCTCATTCCAGGGGACCTTGTCCTTAGCAGCATCTTCATGTGTGATACACATAATGACCATCATAAAGTCACTGCTGTCTCTCTGTTTGGTCACCTAGAGTCCCTTTTCTTTTCCAATGATTCTTCCCACAAGGGAGGAGGTTTCAAACAGATCCTCTTAGGTCTCTACACTCACACCCAATCAATCCTTTGTTAATAGCCTTCAACAAAGGCCTAAAGAGGAAAAGTCATGGCTTATGTGTAATAAAATGAGTTGGGTGTGCACTTCTGTGGTTTGGTTGGTTCTAAACACTTCTTCCCTCCTGCCCCAACATGACACCACATAGATGAAGCCATCCTCATCTCTCCTGCCTGGGTTTTATCCCATGATGCCTTCTGCTCCACTCTCCAGCTGGGATGACTTTCTAACATAAATCTGCCATATTATGCTTACACCTGCAGTCACTCTCCTTTGACTTGGGATGAGGCTAGTCCTCTCTGGCTGACCTCAAGACCACTGAGATATGCCCCTCCTTCTGTTGGGCCTCATCTCTTCCCACCTTGTCCCAAACCCTAAGCAGCATTCAACTTCCTGCAGTTCCACAAACATGCAGTACTCTCTTGCCTTTGAGCTTTTGCATCATAAACTACTCCCCTTGGCCTTTCCTGACAAGCATACCCTCACATCACACCCCTCCTGCCCTATGTTCCGTTAAGAGCCCCTTCTAATTGTACCTATCTAGCCCAGTATTTTCCCTGTATCATAATGATTATCTTCTCCTTTGGCGTAAATACTATGCCTCTATCAAGGCATGCTGCAGTAGAGAAAGAGAGAAAAGAATCCTTCCTCTGTGAAAATTCATTTCTTCATTGCTCTAGTTGATTCATTCATTTTCAAAATGTTTTTTAAATGTCTACTAAGAGCCAGCAACTGTGCTCAATGTTGGGTCTTCAAGGGCAGCAAAGCTTAACCTGGCTCCTGTTCTCATGGCACTCATGCCAGCACATCTCAGTTCACAGAAGTTCCATGATCCTCTGCAAGCTGCTCTGCCTTGGACCAGAGAAGTGCAATAGCAATGCAGGGGGACCTTCTCACAGCTGGCAAAGATTATATAACATTGACTTAATAATGTATTTAGCTCCATTCCACAGCAAGATTGATACACATCTTGGTCTCACAGAACTCGAGGTGTGGCAGAAAAGATAGACAAGCAATTGCAATACAGTGTGAGAAATGCTTTGATAAGGGAACACCAGGAAATAAAGTGATCCTGTTATGCTGCAGAGAAGGATCACCCTAGGCTAATCTGGGGAGGATCAGATCAGGAAAGACAATGGGAATCGTGGGAAATGATAATTGTGAGACATGTTGGAACATAGCTTGTAAACTAGAATAATAATTTCTTAGGCCCCTGGGGCCATGTCTTTGACTCTTCTCTCAGTGGAGACTCTGGCATTCATAAGGAATTCACAAACAATGAGGAAGTTAGCCCAATTTGGCTGAGGAGGAGAGGTGAGGAAGCTGAGTAGTAGTGCTTATTTGGATTAAAATTCCTGATATATTTTCCTAATAATGACCAAATCTAAGACCCTCTGTGGTTCACCCCACAGGTGAAAGGCAGAATGTGGTTTACTAAGCCAAGAAGGTTCTCAAT